CCAGTTTGGTTTGCCGTTTATAAGTTTACGTGATTTTGTAGGTACACTTGGGGCGCCCCCTATTGTAATTTTAACAGGCAGGTGGTCTGAGTCAAGTTCAAATAAGGGCTCTTGATGAATTGATAGAGGTATTGATTTTAATAATATTACGTCTAATATGTCAGGATTTCTATTTTGGTCATATGGATAATACGTCGGGGAGTCAGGTGCAGATATAATTGCTGAAGTATTTGAAATGTATTTATGTAATTTACGACCATTTTGATTTGTCATTTTGCAGTTCCAAGTGGTGTGTTTGGAGTTCAGGTCACCAATAATCATTACTTTTTGAAAACTGCAAAGAATTTTATCGAAATCACTTGTGAACATTTTAAAACTTGGAGATTGATAGGCGCTAATTAGAGTTGTAATTACATTGTTTATAGATATAGTAATTGCCACTGCTTCCAATGATTGCAGAACAGGTATAAATGTGTGGTGGTGTTTTATTTTAGATTTAATTATAATAGCTACGCCGCCTGAAGGTCGAACTGCTAATCTGTCTTTGCGATAAGTGACATAGCCATTAAATTTTATTTTATCTGCGTTAATTAAATGCGTCTCGCTGATGCAGGCTATATCTACATTGTGAGAGTTCAAAAATGCAGCAAAAGTATTTCTGTTTTGTTTAAGGCCATTGGCATTCCAATTTATGATAACTAAATTAGCATTATTAATATTATTGAAGTTGACTGCCATTTGCTTGACTTAATAACGTTGGGATATATTCGATGACTTTTATTATAATTTCTTGTAATAGTGAATTTATGGTGGGCATTAGTAACTGCAGAAGCTCGCTTTGGATATTTGGTTGGGAGGGAGGTGGTTGCCGATGTTCGTAGGTATTTGTTTTTGTTATCTCTGCGTAGGACTGCTTGTTGATATTACTGAAGACAGGTGGGTTTGTGCTATTCTGAGAGAGGTGATTATGAGCAACATTTTGTGACGTGGATGCATGATTGTTGCTGTATATATTAACTTCGGTATCAGACTGCTTATGGGTAGTAGTGTTTTTTGAATTTGTTTGACGAGATTTATTTTTTAGTAGTTTGTAAGCTGTGCAACCTCGGTAATTGGCTGGGTGGTTCCCCAGACAATTTACACAGGTAGGGGGGGTAGATGGGTCTTTTGTGCAGGCGGAATAGTGATGATCTCCCGAACATTTTACGCATCTGGGCGAAGTTTACAAAAGTTTTTGGTATGCTGGAATCTTTGACAATTTTGGCATTGAGGTATGTTAGAATCAGTTTTACGGTTTTCGACAGATATAATGCAGTTTAGTAGACGGTCTACTGAAAAAATATCTTTTGCCGTTTTTTCAAGTAGTACCGCTACTATCGGTATGGGAGATTTATATTTATTTTGGAGTCGAGTTACTGAGACAACAGTGAAGTTTAGATCGGTAATTGCGTTAAAGATTTGTTCTTCAGGTATAGATGTGGGGAGGTTTCTAATTATTACGGATAAGTTTCGGTCTTCTGGAAGTTGATACGTGTGATATTTTATTTTGATTTCGGTGAAATATTTAGTGATAGTGCGGTAGTCATCGACTGATGTGAGATTAAGTCTCAAGACAGTATTTTTGTTGGCTATGCTAAACTCATCTATTATCATAGGTGTTATTGTGTCGCGAAAGTGAATATAATCTGTGATATCGTAAACATAGAGAGGTGGTATTTTTTGTCTTACCTCCGGCGTATCAATTTCTATGTTGTCTGATTGGTCGTTGTCAGTGTCTGCTAAGTCCAATAAAGGTGAGAACTTGTTTTTGATGTTTTCCCGAGGTGAAAGAGCTATGCTAGCTGTTCGTTTGTAAGCGGTGTTATTAGTAGGATTAGACGGCTTTTTAATGGGCGCTATGCCCGAGGTTTGAATATGAACACAGAACGCGCGTAGGAAATCGGTTACGAACGGACAACCTGTTACGTCGGGCGGTGCGCGTAGACTGATTTTTTTTCATTACTAATTCTTAATGAGAGAATAGTGTGTTTTGATTATGGCCCAGACAAAGGAAATAAACCATCTGTATTATCTATCGAACATATTCAAAAAAATAATATAAGGCTTTCTGCATCTGAAATGTTATCATTTATTCGTTATTTTGGAGTTTTGATTGGGGATTTTGTTCCTAGAAACGATCCTGTATGGTGTATTTATATTTTGCTCAGACAAATTATTGATCTTACAACATCTACAACATTACAAAAAGAGTGTGGTGAACTGATCCAAACACTTGTTGCATAACATAATGATCTACATTTAAAATATAGTAAACAACATCTCAGACCTGAGCATCATTTTATTTTTCATTACCACACAATGATTAAAAAGTTTGGTCCATTAGTAAATTTATGGTTTATGCGCTTTGAGGCAAAGCATAGAATTTCAAAAATATCAGCCAATTCCTCTAGTAGTTGACGTAATATTTGTATGAGTTTGGCTATTAGGCAACAATTACTTCTCAACAATCTGTTTATTAAGGGAAATTTAGGTAATACTATTGAACCAGGTTCTTCTAACAATCTAGTTAGTGACACTGATATCCAAAATGTAAAAAGATTTATGGTAATAGATTTTTTAGATTCACTAATTAGTTGTTCTTAGATTTCTATTAAAGGTACAAAGTACCAAACCAAAATGGTTCTTACTCTTGATGTAAACCAAAATAGTCTCCCCGAGTTCGGTATAATAGATGATATATAGTTTTATAATAATACAGTAGTTGTATTTAAATGTTTAAAATTAAATACTATCGGTTTTGATGAGCATTTTTGTTCTTATGAAGTAATTACACTTAGAATTAATGAAGACCTTATATATCATCATATGCTCTATTCTCATATTCCTAAGGTCGTATCCCATTTCGCCGCCATTTCATTTCGCCGCGGTACCATTTCGCCGCCAAATTAATCCCATTTTGCCGCCGACCCATTTCGCCGCATAAAATTATTTTTGTCTTAGAACATGGTTATGAATTTGTGATTTGAAAAGTGATAAATAGACACAGAGAAATATTTATTAGATATATTTATCGTTTGAAACGATCTTAGTGCTATACTATCTCAATTCTGAAGTTATCGATTGATAAATCCCCAATAATTATATAAATAAAATAGAATGAATAGTGTGTCGTCGCAGCGATAATTGCAAAGTTACCACAGTCAGTGTCATATGATTATCAAAAGTACGTATTTGCGCATTTACAGTTCACAATTTTTATGCAGGTCGCAGGATTAAACAAAAAATTTCAATACGTATAATATTATAAAACGTAAAGGTATAACAATTAATAGGTAATACTAAACTATAGGCGAGTATAATATATTATATAAATATATATTTAGTTGAGGTGTGGAAGAAAAGAGTTTTTACTAGTTCTGACAGTCATGATTATTATACATTTATGCAAATATCAATGCGTTCAAATCACTGGTGTTATCTACCACGCATCAAAATCTCATAGTTCACACTTCACGTCATTAAAATAGGAATATTTAAAAAAAAAAACAAATTATTTTGCAGATTTGGGATAATATTATTATGAGTATTATCAATTGATGAATTAATGATTCATTTGAAAATATTATTATTACTTATTAACTACAAATAAAACAATGAATAATTGTTGAGTAACCTTAAGTTGAGAGTTAAAGAGTTACTTAAAAAATAAATTCGGCGAAATGGAACTGCGAAAAAATAAATTCGGCAAAACGGTACCGCGGCGAAATGAAATGGAGGCGAAATGGGAGCTGACCATTCCTTATAATATTAGTGTACTGTCAAATGGCTCTACATATGTTACATTGAGAAGTGCTATTTAGTATTATTGTTATATTATATATAGTTTATATATTATAGTTTTAAGGTGTAGACTATAGATATTCAAAATGTCAAGTACCTAATATACAATATTGATTGTATATTACTTAACATTTTATACCTTACTAAATTGTAATAATTATGTTATGTAATCACGTGTTATAAAAATAAAAAATTTGAAATAATAAATTATGTATATTTTTTTACATTTAAATACCTAACATGTATTCTATTCGTATTTTTAGGGAGCTTTTAAAGTTGTTTGGGGCTTTGTCTCCCCTTCTGATTGTGTCACTGAAATCAACAGAAGTATACTTTAAAACTAACCAAAATGGTTGTATAATTGTTACAAACAATAGGTACCTACTGCAAAAAAGCACTAAATAATTTTGTAGTTCTTACTAAAAAATTTCTATTTGTATAAGAAGAATTATTACTTATAACGAAAAATAGTGTTTTGATAGCAAAATTGTTTGGTAAATATTACAAAAGTATTTGTGAACAACTCACAATTGTATACTGACTTCTGACAGTTAAATGCATAGCTACAGAAAAATTGTTTGGTAAATATTACATAAGGATTTGTGAACAACTCACAATTGTCTATTGACTTCTGACAGTTAAATGTATAGCTACAGCAAACTTGTACAGTTACCACTATCAAAATAGTTAACATTAAATACATTGTAACTTCTACATAATATTTTGTTGTCACAGAGGCAACCAAAAAAATTGATTGCAGTTATAAGATGATTGCTGAAATTACCAAATAGTTTTTTCCGTGTACCAAATAAAAATATATTTTTCAAACATTATGTTAAAAACAAATTATAATTATTTACTTACTTTTAATGTAGTTTTGTTATTGAGTCTGTTTCTTATATTTTTAATTAAGTGAGGAACATCCGAAAATACATCAAAGGATCGACTCTCATCCATTGGATTTTGAAATGAATTTTTCACATTGTTTATAGAGCCAAGAATACCTAGTTCAGTCTGTTAGTTTGTGCACCATCGGAAACAATACCATCCACTTTTACACCACTATTCTCCAGTAAAGAAATTGCTTTGACAATTAATTGTGCAAGTATAATACCTAAAAAATAAAATTTAATAATTTAATACCAACTAATAAAGCTGTGTTAATGTGTTACAGTGAATACATCTTTTACTGTGCCAGTAGACGTGAAAACAGCTACAGGTTGGCAAAAATTGACAGACAAGCTTTGAAACATAAATACCAAACCATGGTTATCTTTAGTATTTGAAGTGGGTATTTCGTTTCCAACATTTTCAAAGCCAACATAGCTTAAGTTGGATGATTTAACAGCAATGCTTTCACGAAGTATTATTTCATCGAACAACAAAATACCATGTTTTTGTTCTTGGGATAGCATAGTAATTTTTTTTTTAAATAACTGAAAAAACTGATCGTTGAATCCACAAGGGGACTTGATACATGATAAATATGTTCTCACAGAACAAGGGCTTGGTAGAGAAATTACATTTTGGTCTCGCAAAAATTTGTAAGCATTCGGAGATCTGAGAAATAAGTCCTTTATAAATTGTTAAGTATTTTTAGTCTAGCTATTTATGCATATTATTTACCTACCTTATGTAAAAAAAAATACTAAGTATCCAGCTATCTGAGTATCTTCTATTCTTGGGATTACTAAACTTGTAAGTTTTAATAATTTCGCTTAATAAAATCTGTTGTGGCTCACCCAAGTTATTATTTTTTAAAAATACGTAAATTGTGGTTTGAGGTAATTCTTTTATTTTGTTTTGCATAGCATGCATTTGGTTATTCAATTTTTCAATTTTAGTATGATACCTTTAGTAGTAAATTAATAATTATTAATTACGATTCATAATAATAGTAAAATACAATATATAATAACAATAAATAAATAAAATATATAATATACATATCTCTTATATTATAAAACACAAATAGTCTCCGTTTTTTGCCACCAGGGGCGACGCGACAAATAAGGAATTCCGCGTTTCTTCCATGACGACCAATCATATTACTTCTCGCGCGACGCAGCAAATAAGCAACTCCGCGTTTCTTCCATGACGACCAATCATAATACTTCTCGCGCGTTCGCTAAATTTTCACGTCGCCGCTCGCTTATCTCCCTTTTCGTTATCGACGATTGACGTGAATATTTTCGAATATTATTTTCCCGAGTTATTCCGTATTTCTATATATTATATAATATAATAAAAATAAAAAAGTGCGTGTGCGATTTTTACAAAAATTGTGATATTTCCGTGTGTAAAATATATAAAACGCAATATTCAGAAACTGTTCAAGTGTTATGTAAATGTCATTATTATGAATTTTATTATCATACCGTTGTGGAAGCCGCCATTCAGCCATTCAGAATTTCAATAATATTAAAAATATAAGTAGTTTGAATGCACGGATTAGATAGACATTTTTCACGAGTATTGCAGTACATTTAACTATTATATCTAAGAGTTTTAGTAGGAGCTTGGTGTGTCGATTGTTTATGACAATGTCGTTACATACGTAATAAGGTAAGTAATAATAAGTAAATTCAATACATTTATATACGAGGGGTAATTATAGAAAGTTTGTACACCAGATTACTGATTTAAATGATTATACCTATGATTTCCCATGACTTACTACAAAGATTACCTATGATTACACATGATTACCCCCAAGGTGTTTACCCCTCGATTATAATATACTAATATTGTATTAAAAAGTTTAATTACTTCAATTCATACCTTATAACTGTACTAACCTTTACATTAGGTTACACGTATTAATTTTTTGCAATATTTCAAACAAATTTCAAAACAAGAAAACTACATTTACATAGGTATTATATGTTAAATTGAATTTAAATTCCTTCAAAGGTGTAAAACTATGCTTAAAATATTGTACTATTTGTCAACATTTTTATTATGTCGTTGGCATGCAAAAATGTATTATACATGATTTATATATATTATGTTAATAAATACATAGGTATCATTTATATTCTACTTTTTAAAACTTTATTATAGGACAACTGTATGCAGCGTTTTCCCGAGTGAGGGACTCTCAATCCATAAAAACCATTAGAGTTGCTATGTACAGTGATGGCCGTGGTAGATTCGTCACTAAGAACATTGTGTACAGAGAAATTCTACAAGCGATATAACTGTACAATGAAGTCTACAAGAACTTAATGAACATCGAATCCGATCTGTGTGACACATGGTTTATAAGCAGTCATAAGTACGACTCGCGGAGGAGAGAAAGTTCGACGACCTCCACGTGGTTCTCTCTGGATGCGGATTTTGTAATGAATACGTAACTGATGTCGAACATGCATTTAACCTGGCTGCGACTCGCACACTAGATGGTAAATTATTTAGAATTATTTATGTACTCTAAAAATAAATCAGCAGATATTTGTATGCATTTGTATTATTTCAGAAACATTATACTAAAAATGACTATCAATGCAGGTGTAATAGAAACAGAATCATTGTTGGACTGCTACTAAGACATAGGGGAAATTCGACAACCTCTACGTGCTTCTCTCTTGATGCGGATTTTGTAATGTATTTATATCAAATGTCAAACATGCATTTAAACTGGCTACTACTCGCACACTCTGTGGTAAATTATTTAGAATTATTTATGTACTCTAAAAATATATCAGAAGATATTTGTATGCAATTGTATTATTTCAGAAACATTATACTAGAAATGACTTCATCAATGCAGATGTAGCAGAAACACAACAAAAAGATTCATCATTGTATCAATACTGATTACTAATTTGCAACTAAACCATACTCTGATAATCATAAGAATTACTACAGCTAACACTTAATTATTATTCATTGTTAATGTGTAACTGATGTAGCACATACACACACATATATATATGTATATACACTTAAATTGATTAATAGTAAGTTTTATACACAAATTATTATAATTTCAAAAGCATATATTATCTACTATAACCAAGGTTTGTAAGAAATTTTCAATTTTGTTGTATGTACAATATGTTTCATTTCTACGTATTGCAGTCGACGCACGATTCAATTAAATTTTTTTAAACATCATTAAACTACACTATATTGTATGTTTGAATTTGTATTGCTTAACAATGTCTTTTATATGTAATAAACATAATGAGGTATGATTAGATATTTTGCCACCGCAAATAATTTTCATTGAAAAAATATTATGCAATTACTGATCAGTAATACCTAATTGATTATACATTATTTGTAATTTAAAAAAAGGTGCTCTGCTGTACTGTAGGTTATAAGTGGGTCACTGTATAATGGATGGTATTAAATTTGAATTCAATGATATAATATCATTGTATAAGAAAAACGATTCTGAGTGGAGACGGTATGTCAGTCTAGGTTAAGACATATTATATACATATTACATATATTATATTGTATTAAAATAAAATTGACCTATAATAAATTCCAAATTAATCATATCACAATATCCATTAGGTACTTATAAGCGTTATACATCAACAACAAACCGTGATACTATCATAGATATATAAATATAATAGTACATTTTAGAAGTTTCAAGTACGAATAATATTATACAATCACAACAAAATAACTAAAATAGTTATTCTAGGTTTTTTCTTTTTTAATATATAATTTTGTCCAAATTTAAATTTAAAATGTCTGTAAAAAATAACTGTGTTCATATATTTTTTAGATTTTTTGGTTACAGTATGAACTATTCATGAGAACCTCTGTTTTAAATTTGCAGTCCTTAGCTATAAAAACTGAACATTTTATAATTTATTAATTACAATGATTGATAATTTTCGAGATTTTGATAAATTTTGTCAAAATTCGATCTTTAAATGCTTATAAAAAGAAATTGTGCATATGTATTTGAAATATTTTTCAAACTGATATTGCAACAATATATCAGGAGCGTTGTATTAAATTTTTATACTTTTTGACCCAACAGATAAAACTTTATTGATATTTATAGAAAAAAAACTAAAAAAATCGAAAACTGAAAATGTCCGTAAATAGCTCAAAAAGAGTCAAAATATTTTCAAAATTGTATAGTGTTTAGAAAATGCTAATATAAACATTCAGTGAAATTTTCATGTATCTACAGTTATTCGTTTTAGAATTACAACAAAATAACGAAATCGCTATATGAGAAATCGACTGAATCTCCAATGTTGTAAAAATTTGAATTTCAAACACTCATAAAAATTTAATTTGACTTTCTTATAGACATTTTTTTTTTGATAAATGTAGAAAATCTTATAAGGAATCTTGTATTACATTTTCATATCTTTTATTAGCCATTGGTTAACAATTAATGTATACCATTAATTTTTATTTATTCATTAACTAATAGTACCAACAATAATTTGTTCGAGCCTATGCATACCTACCGTTTTAAAGGAGAGTTATGCAAACTTATAAATATGATAACATCTGTTATATATATGTTGTAATATACTTAGGTTAGGTTATGTATAAAAAAAAAACACTTAAAAATAACTGTTGTTATATATTATATATATATATATTTCTATTTATAACTTAATAACTTATTCATTATTCATTCTGAAAATATATACAAACACAAATTAGAATTAGACAATAAAAAGAACACAAAAACTTTTTATAGCTTACCGCTAGCTTGCTGTCATCCTATAAACAATGTATTTAAAAACATTTATAACTAACATGTATATTACAAATATATTACAATATTATACTCACTCCTACATTCATAGAGGCCATATCGTGGCCCATAGATGACACAGCACTCGAGCCACGGTCATGGCCCGAGTGCTGGTGCGAAGTTCTGGCACCATTCCCCAACGACGGGGGGGCCGAGTCCCGCAGCCGCTGCGAGGTCGTCTCTCTCGGAGACCGATCTCGCCGCCGAGGGGGGGACCGGTCTCGCCGACCGGGGGGAGGACCGGTCCCTCTGAACTTTTGGTCTTCTGCCTGCATAATAAATAATATTTTAGATGCATTGCCTACGATCACATATATAATATACACAAAATACACTTACAATGGCGGGCCAGGTGACCAGGTTTTCTGCAATTGTAGCATTCTGAAAAAGAAAAGCGAACAACATTACCATGTTTATCCATAGACCTATAAACTAATGGACAACGCTTAGAGAGAGAAGTAAGAGGTCCAATATACAGTATTAGTTTCGTAAGTCTATGATTTCCCACATTATGTTTTTTCTCTCTTTCTCTTATATGATTTCATCAAGATTCCCCCACTATGTTCCTTCTTACTCACTCTATATTGGCGTTACTCAGTGATGGTTGGGTGGTGAGGGAGGCGCAATCCATTAGTTTATAGGTCTATATGTAAGAAAAAAAGTCCCCGG